AGGCATCCCAATGTTTCACAATGTGGTAGGCATGTCGGGTAAATGACATGTCTGATTTCCACCTTAGGGCTCTGAACCTCCGACGAGACTGCTCGGGTGTTATCCCCATTCTGACTCTCGCCTTGGATTTAAACAGTTCATACTTGTTCATGTGTTCTTTAGGCATTTCAGCTGCCACCTCAGCTAAGGGTCCACTGAGCTGCGGCCTCAGCTCTACCATGTATTGGTCAGCAGAGATGTTGTACCCAAGGCAGGCCCTTTCGAAGTTTTCTAAGAAGGTCTCAGTATCATCACCTGCCTTGTAGGTGGGGAACTTTCTGGGATGGGAAGTGGTACCTGGAGAAGGATTGCTAGGGTTTGTTGGTATATTCTGCTGGGCCTTTATCCTCTCCATCTCCTCCACATGCTTCCTCTCTTTTTCCCTCTCCTCCTCCACATGCTTCCTCGCCTCCATTTCTTGTTCCTTCTTCAGCTGCATGAGTTCTATCTGTCTTTCATGTTCCCTTTGTCTTTCCTCAGCCTGAAATTTGGCTAATTCGAGCTGTAGTCGAGCCGCGGATTTTGCCATTCTAACCTCTCTGTTTTTACTAACTTTACACCCGAGGTTTAGAAATAAACAAACAAAACTTGGCTGTAAAATTTTGCTGTGCTGGAATAGAATACCTATTCTCTGATAGTGATTGTCAGCCTACAGAAAAAGACAATTCCCTTGTCTCTGCTCTGGGCCCAAATTAAAGCAAAAAACCTCCAACTGCTTGGAAACCTGCTTACCCAGCCCAAAGAAAAAGCAAATGGGTAGAACACACACCCCCTATTTACTTTTAGGAAGAAAAGAAAAAAAAAAACCCTTGGATTGGAAGACTGAATTTCCCTGCAGGAGTTAAGTACCCTGCCTCCAGGCAAAGAAAACCTGCAATTCACAAGATAATCCCCTTTTGTCTCTGCTTGGCCACAAAGCAGAGAGAAACCAAGCTGCTTTCAGTTTCAAAGCTGCTTTCTGGACTTTCTTTCCAAAGGAAAAAAAAAATTCCTTTTTAAAATCTGTATTTCTAGTTCAAAAAATCTCAACTGGATCTCAAATGATTTCAGGTTAATCCCACCACTGTGCCACCATGTCAAGGTTCCTCCCCCACTCTGAACTCTAGGGTACAGATGTGGGGACCTGCATGAAAAAAACCCCTAAGCTTATCTTTACCAGCTTAGGTCAAAACTTCCCCAAGGTACAAAATATTACACCCGTTATCCTTGGAATGGCCGCTACCATCACCAAACTAATACTGGTTACTGGGGAAGAGCTGTTTGGACGCGTCTTTCCCCCCAAAATACTTCCCCAAAACCTTGCACCCCACTTCCTGGACAAGGTTTGGTAAAAAGCCTCACCAATTTGCCTAGGTGACTACAGACCCAGACCCTTGGATCTTAAGAACAATGAACAATCCTCCCAACACTTGCACCCCCCCCCCTCTCCTGGGAAATGTTGGATAAAAAGCCTCACCAATTTGCATAGGTGACCACAGACCCAAACCCTTGGATCTGAGAACAATGAAAAAGCATTCAGTTTTTTAAAAGAAGACTTTTAATAAAAAAATAGCAGTAAATAGAAATAAAGAAATCCCCCCTGTAAAATCAGGATGGTAGATATCTTACAGGGTAATTAGATTCAAAACATAGAGAACCCCTCTAGGCAAACCCTTAAGTTACAAAAAAAGTACACAGACAGAAATAGTTATTCTATTCAGCACAATTCTTTTCTCAGCCATTTAAAGAAATCATAATCTAACACATACCTAGCTAGATTACTTACTAAAAGTTCTAAGACTCCATTCCTCTTCTGTCCCTGGCAAGAGCAGCACCCAGACAGACACAGACCCTTTGTCCCTCTCCCTCCTCCCAGCTTTTGAAAGTATCTTGTCTCCTCATTGGTCATTTTGGTCAGGTGCCAGCGAGGTTACCTTTAGCTTCTTAACCCTTTACAGGTGAGAGGAGCTTTCCCCTGGCCAGGAGGGATTTCAAAGGGGTTTACCCTTCCCTTTATTTTTATGACATCAGCCATTTAAACAAAACAGAATCTAACACATATCTATCTAGATTGCTTATTAGCCCTTTACAGGAGTTCTGACCTGCATTCCTGCTCTGGTCCCAGCAAAAGCAACACACAGACAGAGAAAACCTTTGTTTTTCCCCCACCCCCTCCAGCTTTGAAAGTATCTTGTCTCTCATTGGTCATTTTGATCAGGTACCAGCGAAGTTATCTTTAGCTTCTTAACCCTTTACAGGTGAAAGGGTTTTTTCCTCTGGCCAAGAGGGATTTAAAGGTGGTTAGCCTTCCCTTTGTATTTATGATATTGACCAATAAGAATCTGGTGTTACAGGTCCCCATAGTGCAATCTATATTTGCTTCTCCATTGTCAGTGTAGCTTTTATTTTGGTGAGTTTTGCACACAGATGCAGGAATGTGGACTTGAGCATCCAAAAGTTCTTCAGCCACTGTTCATAAGCCCAAACCTCCATTATTGCAAAAGATTTTTGCCCTTGGGAAGGATGTAAGATGACACAATATAATACGCATAGTGAATATCTGTGAGTCAACTTCTACACACAAGCAATGACTGTGAACATGGGACACTAAGGGCTGGATTCACAGCCAAGATAAATGCAGCAAAAGGCAATCCTCACTGCTGGATCAAATGCAAAGGAATTGTTGAAAACAGGACAGGAAATCAGTAATACTGGAAGTCACATGACCCAACAAAATAAACTTGAGCTATTAAAAGAAAAAGAAAAAAAGGTAGAATTAAAAACTCCTAATTACAAATCTAAGTACAAAAACCATAGCAAGTGCTATAATAGAAACACAGATGGAATTCCTAAAACCAATAACAACTACTTACTTAACATTTTTTGATGAGCATTAGCTATTAAAATAAAAAAATAAACAGCACAATGACATGCATTGCACAGTGATAATACAGATAAATGACAAAGTGTTCAGAGTAATAGAAATAACATGTTTAAAGGAGCAAAACTATAATTAAAATGGATTACAAGAAGCGAGTGCAATTTAGGGAATCACGTCGGCCGATAAAACAAATTTGTGAACAGTTATGAGACTTCACATATAGTGATAAGAGACTCTTTTAAATACTCAAAATGTGTGACACAGAGTTTGCGGGAATGTAGGTAAATTATTTCACTGCACCAAGTCTCCTGTAGCAGTAAAGTAGCACCAGGGACAGCAGGGAGGGGGTTTGGCATCAGTACCAGGTTTACCATGGTGCCAATGGCACTGTGGCACCAGGCCCACACTCGGAAGGGGCCCATTATGGACCCTTAATCCATCCACACAGCAGGGTCTGACCCCTCGCCTCCTATCAGGACTGGCTACTGTGGACGGGGGGATCCGGGTGTGGGAGAGTAGGTCTCTAGAGGGCCTGGGGACGGGGTGCTGGATAGTGAGGGGGTGGGAGGTGCTCAGCAGTGGGGAAGGTTTGTGTGTTTTGGGGTGCTGGGGAGGGTTTTTTTTTGGCGGCACTGGACAGTGGGGGGTCGGGAGATCTGTGTGTGTTGGGGGCTGTGAAGTGGGGGAGATCTATGTGTGCCGGGGCACTGGGAAGCATAGGGGGGGTCTGTGTGGGGCACTGCAGTTGTGGCGGTGGGGCTGTGGGGGGCACTGGGCAGTGAAGAGATCTGTGGGGGGGCCTCTGGGTGGGTGGGAGAGGTGCTGGGCATAGTGGTCTGTGGGATGGCACTAGGCATAGGGATTTGTGGGGGGTCTCTGGGTGGCATGGCACTCCGTGTAGGGGGTCAGAGGGATGTGCGGGGAGAGGGGGGAGGTAGCATGGTGTGGCATGGGCCCGCCCCCAAGGGGAAGAAGCAGGATGGCAGCAGCGCAGGGCCAGGCGGGCCAGTGTGCATCTGGCAGCTGCCACTTTGTAAACAGTGCCCTTGTACTGGGCTGGGTGGAGCAGGACTGTCCCTGCAGTGCCATGATCCATCTCCCATTGCCCCTGGCCAGCCCCTCATTCTGAGGACTCTGCTCCATGTCCCCATTGCCCCCATGGGGGCCCAGAAATATATTTAGCACCGGGCCCACAAAAGGTTAACCTGGCCCTGTTTGGGGCGCAGGTCTCTGGGACGGAGTTTGGGTGCAGGAGGGGTGCAGGCTATGGGGAGTTCGGGTGAGGGGTGCGGGCTCTGACCTGGGCAGGGGATTGGGGTGCAGCAGGAGGGGGTGTAGACATGTGGACTCTGGGAGGAAGTTTAGCACCTCAGCACATTATATAAGAGAAAGGGGCCGCAGTGACTCCATAAAGATATAGAAACTGACAAAAGACTCTTAAATACTCCAAAGGCGTGGGGCAGAGTTGGAGGGCCGCAGTGCCTGGACAACATTTCACAGCATTCAGTCTCCCGGCTGTAGCCCAGCAGCACTTGTAGACGATAGAGAGGCGCTGCGGTGCCTAAGCATTGACTAGGGTGACCAGACGTCCGGCCGCTGCCTTTTCTCTTTTCTTTTTTCCTTTCCCCCGCTTCCCCCATGTGTCCCGATATTTTGTCCGTTTCATCTGGTCGCCCCTGGCTTGGACAGTCTGGGAATTGGGAGGCCTGGGCCTTTAGGAACCCGGCCCCAGGAACCCGCCCGCTGCCCCGGGGCTGGCTGGCAGCCTCCTGGGAGGGGAACGAAAAAAGCCTCCGCCCCCCTCGCCCCCCGCTATTTACAAGCACAGCAGGTGGCTCATCCCACGGGGTCACTGTTCCCCCTTCTCCCCCTCCCTAAACGGGGGCTTTGTCCCCGCACAGGCTCCGGCAGCGTCTCCCGCCCCCCCCCCCCGCGCCGGACTGAACCCCGGCGACCACCCCCGGTTCCCCCCCTTCAGCCCCTCTTCTGCCGCTACCTACAGTAGCTTGATTCCCCCCCGCCTCGGCCAGTCAGTGTCTGCCCCCTGCTCAGACCCTGACACCCCGCGCTGCAGCTTCCCCCCGGAGAGGAGGCAGCAAGTCGGAAGGCGACGCGAGGGCAGAGGCAACAGCGAAGGTCACTGCGCAGGCTCAGCGCACCCCCGGCGCTGTTCGAGGCCTCCGGCCGCGGCGCCCCGGCCCAGGCGGACCCGGCTTGGAAGGGGACCTGCAGGTGCGAGGGGGCTTCGCGGGGCGGCTCCCTGCAGCGGCCACCAGCCCAGCAAGGAGGGGGGCTGGGGCCTGCTCGGAGAAGGGCGGGGCACGAGGGGTTGCAGCCGCGGGGCCGGTGGGGGGGAGCCGAAGGCTGGGGGTCAGCGGGCGGGCGGGCGGCTCCTCCCTGGCCGTGGCAACGGTGGGCTCAGGACGGTGAGCGCTGGGCTGGGCGTACCCTGCTCCTTCGCCGCCTGCTGGGCTTCTGCTCTGCGCCTGTGGCGGGGCGCGGCAGGCAGCAGCGGTCTAGGCTGCAGCACCTGGCCTTCGTAGGTGACTGTTACTTGTTACAGTCCCATCGTGGGCCAGGAGCCAGGGGGGCCGGGACAACCTGTATAGTGGGGGTGCTGCTGTAACCCACACGCCTCCTGGGTGTGGTGTTCAGTCCCATCCAGTGGTGCCAGACCACTTAGAGAGATTAATGAGTCTGCTCTACAGGCTTAGCTAAGAGCCAACAGGCTGTAGAGCAGACTCATTAATCTCTCTTTCTAAGTGGTCTCGGTGCTACTGGATGGGACAGAACAGCACAGCCAGGAGGGGTGTGGGTTACACTGAGAGTCATTGATGCATCCGATGAAGTGAGCTGTAGCTCACGAAAGCTCATGCTCAAATAAATTGGTTAGTCTCTAAGGTGCCACAAGTCCTCCTTTTCTTTTTGCGAATACAGACTAACACAGCTGCTACTCTGAAACCTGAATCAAACCGTGAACCCTGTACATGTTGGAAACCACTTCAAGCCAGGGGGTGCAGCAGCACCCTCGGCACCCATAGTTCCAGCACCAATGCCAGGAGCCCTTGTGCTAGGTGCTATACACAGAATAAAAAGATGGTCCCTGCCCCAAACAGTTGGCAATGTAAAATCAGCATAATTCATTTTGGAATATGAATTATTCCAAAGGAAAATTCACCTTTCTGAGGTGTTAATTCTTTTCTTCTGAGTGCTTCATATGTAAGTAGAATTCAATTTTTATTGTTATAATTGACAAAAATCAATTATTTTTAAGCATTTTTTATATTGGTTTAAACATTTCACAGTTGCAGGAAGTTTATGTGACGGGGAAATCAGACAATGACAATAGACGCTGAGATTCAGAAAGTTAAAACTTTATAACTGTGAAAACACAAACTGTCAACATCAAATGTCAAAATATACAAAGTAAATATCTTAAATCAAACTCTAAGAAGTTCTCCGGCAACTTTTTTTTTTTTTTACTTTGCGTCTCAATAAATTTCAGTTATTATCAATGGAAATATATTTTCATGGGTTTGTGTGTGTGGTGAAATCAACATTTACCATCAAAAATCTAATCCTTCGAAGCCTATTTATATGGCTGACGTATATGCCCTTTCATCATAACACTTCCACTTCATAGGCTGCATTTCATTGTTTTTGTGTTGTGTAGGAGAAGTCATTTGGGATTCTTTAGACCAAATTACTTCTACCTAGCTCTTGTATAGTGCTTTTCATCTGTAGATCTCAAAACACATTACAAAGGAGAGAACTATCATTGTCCTTATTTCACACATGAGGAAACTGAGGCATGAAGTGATGTGACCTACCCAAGGTTATACAGTAGATGAGGGGGAAGAGGAATAGAACATAAGACTCCTAAGGTCCTGTCCAGTGCTCCATCCACTGGACCACACTGCAGATGAAAGGTGCTATTTAAATGTAAAATATGACTAGACTATAAACTCCTAATTCTCCCATTATAGTCTGAAAAATTTAGTTTGAACCTCATATTATTTTCACCTGAAAGAAAGTGTGATTTGATTTGTGAAGGCTCTCCAGACCCTTCCCCCAGAATTTTCTGGACATTGATGTGAACTCTTCTATTTTGTGTCGTAGGGGTTATGGAACTGTCTGCCAGCAGTGGGCTCTGGGCCTTTGTCTTCTTCTGCCATATAGGAATCCTGGTCTCCTCAGGTAAGCAGGTTCTGGACCTGGCTCCCAAGTCAAACCCTTCTCTCTGCTCTTTACCTTAGCCACATGGTGGGAGAAGGGGCCACTTCTATCCAAGAACCATGTGGACAGAATCACAACAGCACCACCAAGGCATGTGGGAGGGAACAAGATGAGTGAATTCACATAGAAATAGGGGTTGTTCACGAGACAGCTCTTGCACTGCTGTACAGTTTGAATGGCAGCACTGCATAAGAACAGAAGTCCAGGGAAGAAAGGAAGAGAGGAAAATAATTTAATCCATGTTATGAAGGGCAGCTGAAGAATGGAAATGAATAATTGTAGAGCACAAGCCCTTTGGTTTAAGGAGGAGGCTGATAATGAGATTTGTTGGGGTGGGATTGACGTGATTAAAGAGAGCTGGAGGATAGGCAATCAAGACCACTTGTTCAGGGAATTTAGAGACAAAGGGGAAAAAGGAGATGAAGTAGTTGGTGAAGTAGAGGGAGGGTTTCTTAAGGCTATTGAGAGCAAAGAAGAAAGGAGCTGTAGGAGAAAGAGAGGATGTAAACAAGAGATCCCGGGGGTGGGAGGTTTTTTTTTTTTTAAATGTATTTTTACCAGAATGGGAGTGAAAGGGGTAATTTTCCTTGTATGTATTTAGTTAGGTGAAACAAACAAGCAAACAAAACCCACAAAAACATAAAACAACATACAATGTTAGGTCCAAGTGGTGGTGTACGATATCAAGAACTAAAGCTGATCAAACTGTTTGTCCCTAATGTAGGCCCCTTTCTGATCAGATCCATGTATCAATCCTGTTCTGTAGTAAGGTTGAAGCAAATAACGCACATGCAAACAAACTTTTGACAGTTTGTCGTGTGATTGCTCACTTAACTCACAGCCTATTGTTACTGCCTACTGATGTTGCGAATGAACTCTTTATGTGGGAGAATAATAAATGACTGGTAAATAACCAGTAACACACCTCTACTGTGAATTTTCCGATGAATGCTCACTTATGTTAAAATTCATGACACTTTCAGGCTAAACAAACATTTTCGCAAATGTCTGGTACTTGTTTGAATACTCATGATTGACTGAATTTTACCCCATGAATACGAATGGCCCAAACTCTGTGCTTTTATTCCTGAAAATCAGTAGTGAATGAGTTTTCTCAATATTTGTCCATCTTTATCAAGAACCTTAATTCTTTACCAGTCACCCATTCACCTCACACCTGGACATAGATCATAAACACACCTGGCTCAGGAATCACATGGCTTATAGTATTGTTGGAATTGGGCTATGGAGCTTTTTACTCCTAGGACATTAGTTCCAAATTGGGGTGAGGAGGTGGGAGTGAATTTGACAGAGAGGATCACCCAATAATTTTACTCCATGTATCTCCTAAATGGGACAGAGGACATTTTCCTGTTCACCTGTCATTGTGAGTCTCCTAAATCAAGACAGGTGCTGGAGAATGGAGTCTCTAGAAAAAGTTTGCAAATATAGGGTTCAATCCTGAAAAGTGCTATGTGCACTTGCTGGGGAGATTGTCCAGTGCTCTTGGCTCTCCATTTTAGGAATAGGGCATACTGGTTAGTGTGGCTGGGTGGGAGAGACACATTAGTGAGCAGGAAATCTGCCTGGACCATGGTAGTGGTAACAAAAAATGTGAGAGTTGTGAGTGGTGATGTATGGGCTGTCGAGACTGCTGCTGAGTGATGGTGGGTAGGGGTGGCGGTAAGCAATTCTTGTATTTTCAGGTTATGCTCCTTCCCAGTGCTATCAGATTTAAAAGGAGTAGCTCCCACTCCACCTGTTCGATGCTCGGTTTGTCTAGGATGCTCCTCCACATGATTTGCCCCTGTGTAATGGTGGTCATAGTCTCCTTTGTCACTCTGTTGGAGTTTTGTTTTTTGGTGATGAAGATGGTTGGTAGTAATAGCGAGGAGAACTACAGTGTTGAGAATGCAGATGGTTATAATCCAGAATGTGGTGGAGGTGGGGTTTGGCAATGTTGGAACTGAATAGGGAATAAGGTGCTGGTGTTAATACCTTTCATGATATCCCTTTCAGAAAGCTTTACCCTGAAAGGATCAGATTCTCCAGTGATTGCCACAGTTGGCACAGATGTCATCCTTCCATGCCAGCTTTCACCTAGGACCAGTGCCAAACAGATGGAAGTGAGATGGCATAGCAGTGAGATTGCTGGCCTGACCCATCATTATGAGAATGGGCATGATGCCCTGCAGAAGCAGAACCCACACTACCAGGGAAGGACAGAGCTGTTCAAGGAGGAGCTTCCCAATGGCAATGTCTCTCTACTTTTGAAGAAGGTTCAGGTGGCAGATGGAGGCAGCTATGTCTGCTTCATTGGCAACAAATCAAATTATTTGGAAAGCCTTGTGGAGTTAAAGGTTGGAGGTAAAGTAGGCTCTTCTTGTCAGTGAATTGCTCTCTGTTTTAGCAGGTGACATGTATCCCTTCACTGATGTGTATCCCCCGCAAATGCACACATTTTCCTCTGGCATTTTTTTGTTTCATTTCAAATCTCTGCCAGGTATCTAAGCAGTTATTATCCACCTCTAATCACCAAGATGCAATGGCAGCTGGCAGCAGTTACTGAGGGGCCTTGGTGACTGACTGTGGCTATAGAGGGCCATGATGTTCCTCTGTTGGCTACACATTATCATAGAGCATCAATGCACGTGCTAGTGATACCAACATGGTGAATCCTTTCCCTCCCAATGGGAACAAAGTAGTGGTGTTTCCATGTTGAGTAAGCTAATATTACTTGGTTTGCTTTGACACAGCTGTTGGCACAGGCCCGACAATCTCTGTGCACCGTTCCCAGGACCAGGGAGTGACACTCACTTGCAGTTCAGAAGGGTGGTATCCAGAACCAGCAATAATGTGGGCTGACAGGCATGGTCAAAGACAGAACTCAACTATGTTATCTGTAAAAGATGTTCAAGGTCTACACAATATTCAGAGTCACGTGGATGTGAAAGATAACAAAAGCCAGGTCTTGGTGTGTCGGCTCCAAAGCAACTTCTGGGACCAGACAAGACAGTCGGAGCTGCAACTTTCCAGTAAGGCTTTCCTATTTCAAGAGTTTGTCTGGGTAGTAAAAGACAGGGTAATGGTTTGCTGAACATAACTGGTTAGGGCAGGACAGAGCCACAGGAAGCAGGAACTTTACAGTTTGCCTTCTTGGAATTTCTAATTTCTCTGTCTCTTTATTTTGTGTATGGTATTTAAAAATACATAGTATCATATGTTGTAGCTAGGGCTTATGGTGGATGAGGGAATCTAGATGAGATGCTTGTAGTTTGGGGGAGGATGGGGGAACTTTAGAGCTGCTTATGGAGCGTCCTAGATGTGGACACCTGGCATGAAGGATGTCAGTGAGACACCCTGAGACTCCGTCCAGTTCTAAAGTTATTTTCTTCCTGAACTAACAACCCCATTCTCTTTCATTTCAGGTGATTTATTCCCATATGATAAACACCCATATGTAGTCACCACAGTAATATTATGTCTATTGCTCGTTATATTTGGTGTGGTTACAGGCTTCATATTCAAAACAGAGAGAGAATCCAAAGGTATGTTCCTGGTCCTTTCCCAGTGTAGAATATTCTCCATAGACAAATGCATCCTGAGTTAGAGATTAAAAGCAAGAATTAGGTATGGAATGTGTGATGGGACAAAAACATCAATAAGATGTTACTATTTTCTGCTCCTGTGAATGATTGGTTCTGCCCCTTGGCCCTGAGAATTTTCTCTGTTACATTTAGATTTCCCAGACTCACCAAAAAATGCTTATTTTTTCCAACATTTGTCCAATTTCGCTGAAATAGATCTCTGTGGGAAGGAGACCCTTTGGTCATGGGAATGTAGCATCAACACAGGATGAGGGTATTGCATAGGTTGGCTGAGGATGGACACATTGATGTAGGTATAATACCAGTTGATGATCTCTTTGCACATTCATCTCTTCTCTTTTCTTCCCTCAGGAAAGCTTCAAATTGCAAAAGGTATGAAATTTGTTTTTCTAGAATGGACTTCTTTGGTCTCTCTCTGTATCTTCCTCTCTTTTCATTACTGTCTGTCTCTCCCAGTCCCTGCTCTTCTATTGTGTTTGTCTGTGTTTCTCTCTCAGGAGCCTGAGGATTCATTCAGAAGGATAATTGTCTGTCTCTTCACTGATGGGTGCATCACCCCCCTTTTGGGTTGTTGAGTGAGACAGTTGGTGGTTCTCCTTTTCAGTGTGGGATAACAGTTATAACTTGTAACATGTTCAAGTTCACTAATGTTTTACACATGCCCTGCTGGCACGCACCCCAACCACACTTGGAGCACACGGGTGTCTTGGTATTGCTGCCTGTGACTGGATTTCTATGATCCTGTCTTTCTGATGTGTTGTTTTGGAGCTGCTTTAGTGACTCCATAGTTAAGGTTCTAAGACAGTTGTCATTACGTCTATAACTTCCTTAAAACAAACAAAACTCAAATTTACTTTCTTCCTGAAATTTGTCATATTTGATCTCGTAGCATGAAGGTGTGTTTTTATGTATATTTTTGAAAGTTTGAGGTTAATCTGATAAGGCAGTTTGGGGAATCTGAGACTTTGATTTGAGTGATGACAGCTGTTCTACTTTTTGAAAAATCTAACATTTTGTATCTCACTGTGATCTACAAACTGCACATTTCTTTTATACGCTAGTTTTTAGTGAACTCTATCAGACCTTAGAAAGTCCACTCAGAGGTGTGTGCATGTGCGTGTGTGCACGCGCGCAAGGGGAGGATATGTACTTCTCCCCATGCTGTCTTGACTTCTCTGTTCTTCTTGCTCCCACATACTCCTCCATAAGAGTTGCTCAAAAATGGGGGGGGCCTCCTTCTGGCATATGTCAAAGTGATCAGTAATAGTGGGCAAAGTGCACGCTGGATAAAGTTGGGGGCAGGGAGGGACTCTGAGGGCAGGGGGAATGGCAGCATGCTGAAAATGGCATTTCTTCCAACCTGCTCCCTAAGTTCCATGCAGGAGACATGGGGAGTGAAGAACTCCTTCTTTGGCTGGTTCCTGCTGCTCCCTGGTTTGGTCTCCAGAACTTCCTATCAGCTGAACAGATGTGAACGTTCCATTGTGGAGAACTTATTTAAAATATCAAATTAAAGTAATCTTTGGTCCTGTGCACTAGATCTCAACTAACTGAATTCAGTAAATTATGTTTTATCTCCCTGCCTTGTTCTGTTTTCTTGCTAGATAATACACAGATATTTCTATATCTTTATTTAACTCAACACCTAAGGACCATATTTTTAAGTGGGTATGTAAAGTTAAGTTTCTAAGCCCATATTTAAATACCAAAATAAGAGGCCCAACTTTTCAAAAGTACTGACCATCCAGCAGCTTCCATTGACTTCAGTGAATCTGCTGGGTATACAGCACTTTAGAAAGTCAGGTCATTTATTTAGGTATTTCAGTGTGTGTGTATATAGGTGGAGTCTAAGTGTAAATATGAACTTTTGGAGTTGGCCTTTAAAAAAAAATATATATATATATATATTTTTTTTAAGGTGTCACAACCAATGAACTCCTTGTCCGGTTCATTTCAAATCTGGGAGAAGAATTCTATCTCAATGACATACCTAACTTACCAGTTTTGAGACTAATAGTTCTTTTTCTGTGGAGTGTAAGAGAAGGGTCACAATTGGGTTTAGAGTGCAAACTCCATTAACTTTGGTATTCTTTCCTAACTTCTCTTGTTTCACATTTCAGAGCTATTGAAGGCCCGAAACTCAGCTGGTGAGTAACCAAAAAAACAGTTACTTTATTTATTCTTCGGTATCTCAGTGAAATTACCTCCTTTTTAGTCCAGCACCACGTTCTGAAGGTCTGTCTTCTGCTCAGTGTACATGAAGAACTTACCTCAGTAATGGAGGTGGACAAGCTAAATCCAATGTTTTGCCTTCTTGTTGGAGAGGAATGATCATTCAAAGAATGGGTGGGAGGGAACTATAAAAAGGAGAGGAACTTGTGAGCCTTCCTGAAAGTTGTGGCTCACAGTCCCAGTCTCTGTCACCACCGTGTCAATTTCCTTTTTCTTATTATTGGAGTTATTGGGGTCCTGAGTAGACCTCATTGCAGAGGGATAAATCCACATGAAATTTAGTAGTTACTCTAATTTACATTGGTGTCACTGAGAGCAGAGTTTGTTTCTAAATGTGTGTGAAAGTGCACACTACCTCCCAGAGTGACCGAAAGGGAGTCTCTGCCAATCAAAGTGTGATTCCCCCCCCACCCCCCATTGTCTTTAAAAAATAGTCCTGTGGGATTCCATATTTACTGTCTGTCAATGATTTCCAGAGGAAATTTACTTATTTTACAAATAAAAAGATACCTTTTCTAGCCACCAATTATAAAATACAATCTGGGCTCTGAAAGTCCAGCTAGGGTCTTTCCTGCAACTTGAGTGTCTCCAAATTTAAGCCATCACTGATACCTGTGCAAACCCCATTCAATGGATTTGGCCAGGTGTAACTGAGATTTAATGAAGACTTCTGTTGTTAAACTACAAGAAGGAATGGGATCCAGCTAACTTTCTTATCTGTGTGGCACTCACAGGCAAAACCCTGCAAATCTGCAGGTATCCGCTTTATATCTTCCAATCATGTTTGCGGATCATGGATTGGATGCAGATATAAATTTTGATCTGCGCAGTGCTCTACCCACAGGAGCAAGAAGCAGTCTTAGTCAGTAAAGTAAGCAGATATAAATTTGGATACACTCAGGGCACAGTTCTGATGAGCAAGAAGAAACAATGCTTACTTAAAATGTGTTTCTAATCTGAAAATGATTTAAGGCTGTAGAGGGACCTCAGGGAATCAGGAAGACAGGTAGTGAATGTAGGGGATGCTTCTGTGAATTGGGTGATGCAGAAAGTGAAAGTTCACCCATCCTTGTTTTTTTTGTTTTTTGTCCCCCCCCCATGTGTCTCCATTTAACTGTACAGTGCAAATTAGAGTGGATCCTAACACAGCCCATCCCAACCTTCATATTTCATCAGATTGCCTACATGTAAGCCACAGTGACCAGAAGCAAGAGGTGACTGATACTCTGGAGAGATTTGATGGATGGGCCTGCGTGCTGGGATCTGAGACTCTCAGAGCTGGGAAGGAATATTACTGGGAAGTGTATGTGGGAAATAAGACAGACTGGGATCTTGGGGTTACAGATGGGAAGGCTAATAGGAAAGGCTGGCAGGATTTGAAGCCAGAGAATGGGTACTGGGGGATACGGTTTTTTAACAGTACTGATTATATAGCCTTTGAGGATCCTGAAGTTAAACTAAAACTTGGCAAACAGCCTAAAGTAGTTGGGATTCACTTAGATGGTAAGGCTCAGAGGTTAGATTTCTATGATGTTTCAGACATGTCTCACATCTACACTTTTAGCCTGAAATTCCCTCTGGATGTATACCCCTATTTCTGTCCTGGTCTGAACAAAAATGGGAAAAACAAAGACCCTCTCAACCTTTGTTTTCTCTCGCCTGACTACTCTGACCTGATGTCTTCAACTTCCATTCCTTCACCTCACATCTCCACTTCAGAGCTCTTGGAAGGCACTAATGGAAAGGATGTGGCTGTAGAACACTCCAACCTCAAAAATAGTGACGATGCCACCCTTCCATTTCTACACCAGGCTCCTTTCATACAGAAGCAGGAGCCATCCCCTCAATCTGTCAATATGCACAAACTGTGTATAGGTTCTTAGTTCTTTAGTTAGCTGTTGGACTGTGGGGTTTATCGTCCACCCCAACGTGTTTCTTTGTGGGGGCTTAAATTCCCAAGTCCCAGGGGTTTAAGGCCTGCAAGTCCTGCAGTCAACCCATGCCAATGGGCGACGCCCATGACGCTTGTTTAAAGTGTCTGGGGGAGGCTCATCGAGCAGACAAGTGCAGGATTTGTAAAGGGTTTCACCCCGGAACAAAAAAGGAGCAAGACTTTCACCTCAAGCAGCTCCTTATGATGGCGGCACTCAGACCACAACCTCCAGTGGCATGGCAAGACCCGGCACTGAGCTCATGGATGTGCAGTGCCCTGGTGGCAGTGGTGGAAGCAGCACTGTGGAAGGAATCTGGCAGAGATCCATGGCACTGCCATGCCCTGGCGCCAAAGCCGGCAGGATTCACCCGACAATGCTCCCATTCCCAGGCGCAGAAGCAGCACAGGAAGCAAGGGAGGAGTGGATCTCCATCCCAGAGACCCACCTGTGATGATGCGTTCTATATGTTTTAAGGAAATATGCTTATGAGTGTAAATCATGTAACTGGACTATGCTTTATGCAGAAGGTCTCTTGTAAGGTATCATTACAAAGCTTATGATCTACTGCATGTGTTCATCCTATTTGTTTGCATGTATTAGTTCTATCTCTGGAGTTAGGATAATAAGATATGAACGTCTATTACTGATGTAAACATGTTAAATGGAAGCCATTAAGGGTGCTTCAGAATCAATGACCTGTGAAAGGGTTTGTTTACCTGCAAGCCTTCCTGGGTACATGTCAGCCTGTTACCCGAAACTGGGCCAGCTGGTAAGCTGAGGGAGGACTAATGACCCACCAGAGTTTGGGAGAAAGCAGCACGTTTATTATACTGATAGCTAAGCTCAAAAGAAGAGAGGTGGGGGTCACACTCACATGCTCACGCGACAAGGACAGGCACAGCACTGGAGATTTCAGGATCCTTCAAGGTAAGTGTCCCACAGCGCAGCGATGGATGGTGCGATGAAGGTAAGTCTTCCCGAGGCACGCTGGAATGCAACATGGAACATACAACACTGAACACAGACTTTGTCATGACACTATAACCATGGTATTTCTGTAACTCTTCAGCGGATACCCGCTCTCCTGATGTTCTGGTTCAGAGGCTGAAAGATAGAAGCTTAGAAACAAATTAGCACCATGCTCCCACCGCGGCAGACCCTGCTCGTTTAAGTTGTCCGCGGTGTACCCATTTTCACTCCAGGGTCCCATGGCCAGTCAGGGTATCCAGGGTGCTAGTCATGGCTTGGTGGGCTAGCATGGGGGAACCCAGGTGAACATATACTGGGTATTGCAAAAGGTAAAGGCAAATTGGTCTTGGCTCTCTGGAACCAGGGGCAGGGGGAAGAAGCCATTTGCTAAATCAGTCACTGAAAACCACTGTGCCTCAGGCAGAATACTTTCCACAAATGCCGTCATGTCTGCCACCACTGGAGCCCACTGGGGGGTGCAAGCCTTGATCTGATGGTAATCTATAGTTAATTGCCAGGTCTTCACATCTGCCTTGCGGACTGGAGCACCCACAGGGAAAAATTAGTGGGTATTCTGCACCTAGCAGCAGCCAAGGTCCCCTCACCCCCCTGCCCCACTTCCTCCTCCCCTCAGTACGCCATGTCCCCTCTCTTCCACCTACCTTCCAGTGCTTCCTGCCCAGCTGCCACCAAACAGCTGTTTGGCAGCGCTAACACACTCCGGAAAGGAGGGGGAGGAGGCGGAACATGGCACATGCAGGGGAAGAGGCAGGGTTGGGGTGGGGATTTGGGGAAGGAGTTGGAATGTGGGTGAGAAGAGGCGGGACTGGGATGGGGCCTCATGGAAGGGGTGGAGTGGGGGTGGGGCTGGGGCTGGGGGGCAGAGCTGGTATGGGAAAGAGGGGAAGTCGGCGCCTATGAATTGTGGCACCACTCCCTGGGCCAGCTCTGCTCAGTACCACCCTGGCCATCCTGGTCCCGGTCCATGTCTTTGGACTCAGAGACAGAGTCTAGATACTCAGAACAGGTCCGGCACTGGTCAGTCCGTGGAGGGCCTGAGGTGAGAGCTGGGCCATAGCCTGCATAGTGGCAGGGACCAACGCAGTGGCCATTTTGGATCCCATGGGCATACCACCAGGCACAGGGCACCCAATCTAAAGGTTCCTGGTTGGTGACCTCTGAACTGAGGGTGCAGGAGGCTTCAGCCAGTCGCCCCACCCCTAGGGGTGGGGAGGAGGTACCATTTCCTCACACACACCTTGGAGCCAACCCCAGTTCCTGAGCCTGATCCAGGTTTGCCTGGCCCAGTCAGTGAGACAGGACAGGAGGTCACTGGAGAGCAAGAGGGTCAGAAGAACCTTGTTCCCCCATAAGCCTCCTCGTCTTCCTTCCCAGACAAGGTAGTTGCAGGCACCTCTGTCTCAGGACCACCCCCCGTAGACAGATGCACCCACCAGGACCTCCTTCCCAGGGAGCCGTGAAACATGGGCCTGCAGGCCAAGGAGGTGGTGGAGTCGGAGGTCCTGATGGTCAAAATCCTGGCCCTGGAAGGCCCATCGAGGGTTGCTCTACCCCTCATCAAGACCATACAAGCTAATGCTAAGACCATTTGGCAGACCCTGGCCTCCATCCCTCCCACCGTGAAGGGCATGGAGAGGAAGTATTTTGTCCTATCTAAGGGGTATGAATACCTTTTCACATGCCCGCAGCCTTACTCGGGGGTGGTGGCTGCGGTGAATGAGAAGGAAAGGCAGGGGCAATGAGCCCCAGCACCTAAGTCCAAGGACGCCAAGCGCCTGGATTTATTTGAGCACAAAGTGTACTCTACAGGGGGGTTAAATATCAGGGGGGTAGCCGTGTTAGTCTGGATCTGTAAAAGCAGCAAAGAGTCCTGTGGCACCGTATATAGACTAACAGACGTATTGGAGCATAAGCTTTCGTGGGTGAATACCCACTTCGTCAGATGCATGTACTGTATGGTGGGGTTGCAACTCAGGATTGCCAACCAGAAGGCAATTCTGAGTAGATACAGCTTCAACTCCTGGAAATCGATGCTCATATTTAAGGAGCTGATGCCAACTGAGTCCAGGGAGGAGTTTGGAGCTATAGTGAAGGAGGGCAAGGTGGTGGCACAGACCTCTTTACAGGCCTCACTGGATGCTGCAGACTCAGTGGTGCATACCTTGTCCTCTGGTATCGCCATGAGGCATAGCTTATGGCTGCAGCCTCGGGACTCTCGCCTGAGGTTCAACAGATGATGCAGGACTTGCTTTTTGATGGGTCAGGTCTGTTCGTGAAGCAGGCTAACTCTAGGCTCCATAGCCTAAAGGACTCAAGGGCTACCATTAAATCCTTGGATATGCCCACCCTGGCAACCCAACACAAACATTTCAAGCCTCAGCAACAACAGCAGCAATCCTATCCTCCTCCTCGGCTGAGGCAGGATTTTTATAGGAGAAGGGGCAGGAATGGCAGAAGAAAGCTTTCCAACCCCCTGGCTAGAGAGAGTCAGGGCCCAACTAACCCATCGCTGGGTTCCAAGCAGGCCTTTTGAAGGGGCGCCTGAGGATGGTACACCATATCCTTCCCCATCCTTTTTTAATCGTTTATCCCACTTCTACCATGCTTGGTCCCAAATAACTTCGGACTGTCGGATCCTCCATATGGTGGAAGTGGAATATTCTTTTCAGTTCTGCTGTTGCCATCTGTCCCACCCCCCTTTTCCCTTCCCTCTTCAGGGATCCCTCTCACGAGCAACTCCTTATTCAGGAGGTGCAGGAGCTCCACGCCATGGGAGTGGTGGAGGAGGTTCCTCAGTAGCATGTCTCCCCTCTCTACCAGCTATGCTATTTACCAGTTATTTAAGATATTACAAGTCAAAATCTCCCACTCATCACATTTCCTCCTCCCCCATATCTCCTTTAGTGCGCCCCAAGTCCCTGTTCAAAAAAAGTATTTGCTGTTTTCCTAAATCAGGGCGAGCAAACTTTTTGGCCTGAGGGCTGCATCAGGTTTTGGAAATTGTATGAAGGGCTGGTTAGGGGAGGGGGGTGTTGCCCGGCCCCCACCCTCTACCCACCCCCCACCCCCGCTTCTGGCCCTGACGCCCCCCCCTCCCCTGGACTCCTGCCCCATGCACCCCTGCTGCTCCCTGACCATCCCCGGAACCCCTGCCCCTCACTGCTCCCCACCACCCCATCCAACCCCCCCCCCTTCCTGACTGCCCTCCAGGGGACTCCTGCCCCCATTCAACGCCCCTGTTTCCCACCCTCTGACCGCCCCAACCCCTATCCACACCCTCGCCCCCTGACTACCACCCCAAACTCCCCTGCCCTCTATCCAAACCCCGCCCCCCCCACTCCTTGCCCCCTTACCACGCTGCCTGGAGCACCGGTGACTGGCGGCACTACAGCCGTGCTGCCTAGCTGTAGCCAGCCATGCACCGCACAGCACAGAGCACCGAGTCAGGCCGGGCTCTGCAGCTGCGCTGCCCCAGGAGCTCGCTGCCCCACGGCCCAGAGTATTGTGCTGGTGGCACAGTGAGTTGAGGCTGAGGCGGAGGGGGAACAGCAGCGGAGGGGACGGGGGCTAGCCTCCCGGGCCAGGAGCTCAGGGGCTGAGCAGGAGGGTCCCATGGGCCAGATGTGGCCCGCGGGCTGTAGTTTGCCCACCTCTGTCCTAAATAGTCAACGTTGTGCAGCTATCCAAGCGGGGGAAGGAATGCATTACTGAGGATTTTAAATGCATTTTGTGGTAGCATCTAAAGACCTCAGTCAGGCCATGTCCCCATTGTGGTAAACATATCAGAAATGACAGTCTCTTTCTCAAAGACCATTACTGTTCTCAGTAATTTCACTATCTGTGCTGATGATGACTCTTATATGTTGCTCTTAAACCACATATAGTTGCTCCCATAACAATGAAGGTCCTCTCCCAGGTGGTTTCTGACTCAGATTTGGTTGATAGATAATATTCATGGTGGGACTGGAAATACTGAATACAGGAGGCACAGGGATGACACTTCTAACATGGGCAGATCATTACAACTGGGTGGAGGTTAGGTTCTCTGTTTGCTCCAACTTGAGGTGCTGAACCTATTTAATGGTTCTCTTTTAGGGCCAGATGGTGATAGCCTTATACCTGGAGAAATCCTACTGAAGTCAATTGGACTACTTATGTAATTAGATATTTTTCATTTTGTCTAATGGTATCACAAACTGTTCCTCAGAGACTGATAGACCATATTAGGGTTCCAAAACATTCAAAGAGATAATGTTGTCTAGCCTTGACCAGTGTAAAACTTAACCTGGATGATTTGTTTCCAGAGTAACATACTCTTATTTGGTTACTTATTTTTGTAAAAAAAACATTTTCCAATCCCACCACATTTGTCACTGTGATGGTCGCAAATATTGTTGATTTAACTCCCTTCCTTCCTCAAAGAAAAGTATCTCAATTTCTTGTTTAGCTTTTCTTGACAAACTAATCACTTTTTGTGATATTCTAACTAAATATGTCAAGCTAAACACAGTTTACTCAGAATTATTCCCATTCCTAAAAAGATATACATTATTGCCATTGAAGACAAACTGTTTCCACTTCTAAATAGCTGTACATTTTTGCTACCAAAGAATGGCTGCTGAGCTTTCCTCACAGCAATGGTATTTTGACTGTATACATTTTAGATAGCATGTATCCTATTTTTTTTTTTTGGCTGAAAATATCTAAGATATATACTTGGATCTTCTGGTAAGATGTTAAAAAGACATTAATTATCCCCTTTTTATTCACTTGGGAGCAAGCAGCAAACTAAATACAAGTATCTCATTTATGGCAAGATTCATGCAGGGGAAAAAAAAACATTCTACTCTGTTCTCCTTTTAATCATCCTTGAATCAATTATTTTATAATTAACTAGATATCCCACACCACACCAATGTGGAAGGACCAGTTATTACTTCTGCAGACAGAAAAGCACTAAAATAGTCTAGGAGACACATACTCAAAGTACATACTGTAAAAGAAAAGCCTCAGGTTTACAAAGACAGGTTAGTCAATTAAGAAGAAAAGGAGTACTTGTGGCACCTTAGAGACTAACACATTTATTGTCACTACTGAGGGCCGTTTAGATGGAGCAAGACAGCCTCTGAGAAGTCCGGGACAGGGAGGGGGCGCAGAGGGAGGAAGGGTAAAATTACAGTAACTACTGCCTAGCCATTGGTCAGATTCAGATCCGCATCACCATTGGTGGAACAGACAATATTCATTTTTTAGCCAATCACAAATTACATTACGAGTCACACGGACAGGATAAAAGGACAGACATTGGGGCGCTCCTACGCGCTCAGGGCAGGTTTAGCAGATTGTGGGCGGGGTAGTTGTTGCTAGAGAGCGAATTACAATGTCGGGCAGAGGAAAGCAGGGAGGTAAGGTGCGGGCTAAGGCGAAGTCTCGCTCCTCGCGGGCTGGGCTGCAGTTCCCGGTGGGCCGTGTGCACCGCTTGCTTCGCAAAGGCAATTATGCGGAGCGGGTGGGCGCTGGCGCCCCGGTCTATATGGCTGCGGTGCTGGAGTATCTGACCGCTGAGATTCTGGAGCTGGCTGGCAACGCTGCTCGGGACAACAAGAAAACCAGGATCATCCCCCGTCACCTGCAGCTCGCCATCCGAAACGACGAGGAGCTCAACAAGCTGCTGGGGAAAGTCACGATCGCTCAAGGGGGTGTCCTGCCCAATATCCAGGCTGTGCTGTTGCCTAAAAAAACCGAAAGTCATAAGGCCAAGAGCAAATGAAACTGACCAAGAAGAAAGGTGAATCCTTCAACTTCACAGCTAACCCAAAGGCTCTTTTTAGAGCCACCTACTGTCTCAAAAAAAGAGTTACATCTCATTAAAACAGAAAGAGCAGCCTTGTTTGTTAAGTAGAAACCGCCCACCCCTTTAGTAGGGATCGCCAAAAATTTAAGCACTTATTAGTGATTCTCCTCCCCTTCGCCCACCCCCATTACTTTTCATGAGTAACGGAAGCCCCTTTTGGGGAGGGAAAACTAGGCACCAGGCCTTTGTTCTTCCAGGTTCCATAAATATCGATAGGGGTAAAAACAGATTGTAAACTGTGTGTGTATATATAATCATAGGAAACCACTGAGAAAAATAAATATTCAATAGCACCAAGTGATTATGGTGCATTCTATGTTGAATCCATCCTGTTCTCTTAGAGACGAAAGCCTTGTTTTAATGTTGCTGCGACAGATCAAACAAATATACACAATTTTATCCAAGTTATCTTTCACCTGCCCTGGGGTTCTTTATACTCATATTTAAAGAACTGTCCCCCAAATATTGATTGGTCCCTTTGAATCCAAAATAATAGTGAAACCCTAATTCCTTTAAAAGGGGATTTCAAATTCTTCAAGTACACAGAACAGTTTTTAACACGTTTAATTTCGAATACATATAGCACATCATACTGTCTAACCCATTCCCTCTGTAGTTTGGATAAATTAGGGGTTTGTGGGAGATTGGTTAATTTGATATAGCAAAAGAGATTTGGTCCCCATTTATGATTAGATATTGCATATGAAACTGGTCTGTGGGTTCAAAAATGTCACAAATGGAAGGAAAAAGTAGTAACAGGAAAAACATCTTTTTAAATGGCTACCCTTGATTTAAAATCTAATCTCATATAGTACCATTAGGAATCACTTGAAACAACACAAGGCAGAACCGTGTGATTTATTAAAGGGATGTGTCCTTACCTATTATGGGAGAGCTCTGCATTTGATTTAATAATATAAGGGAATGTTTTCTTCTATTTCTTCACTGTGTGTGTTAACCTTATTGTATAATTTTGTTGTGAAAGTTTGCATCATACCTTTCTATCTTGTAAGAGAGATGTGATTGTTATTTCTATTTTAAATTGTTCCTTATTAACATAAATCCATCACTAATTGAACAATAATGTGTAATATGCAATGTTCTAGTCCTAAAGCAAAGATACATGTCAGTGGCAATTTGTTGAAGTTTGTAATGCACAAGAATGAAAAGACCTTAGCAATAGCTATGCCCTTTAGACAATGGATCAGGATTTCAAAAGTTGATTACTGGATCAATTCAGAATGCAGTGTTGCCTTAATGAATGTTAATATTTTCTTCATAGTCTAAGAAAACCTCGCCAATAATTCTTCCACCTGAAGTTACTATGACCTTGTCTATTAGGATAATAAAGGTTCCTGTAACACAGGACTAAGATATAGCTAGCAGCTCTGTATTGTACACAGAGCAGCACCCTACGAACCACTCTGCTTTAACAAGTCATCCACTTTTGGGGCACAAACAGTCCCTCACGGGACTTCAATCTGCTTCTCGCATTGTTCCATGGTGTGCTAATTTAACATTTCATGTTTTAAGGAGGGTAAAAGATTTTGGTCAAAGAAGCTAATTTCTAATCCATATTCAACGCTCATGGACGAGTTTGTGTTACTTCCTTCTCTTTGAAATCAATTTACTATGAAAACATTGATTCAAATGTCTGGCTTTGAGCCTTGAGTGGGAGAAGACCCTTTAAAGAATAACGTTTCATTACTTTGGAAATTTCATTGAGCACGGTGCAGTTTTTATTTAGAAGGAAAAACAAAAGTTTCTGTCTCCCGAGGTCTCTCCAGGTCCAGGACTCACGGTTTATTGACTCTTTTAAAACTCATCTTTTGTTTCTCCGACGGGAAACTCTACTGAATGAAAATACCCTCTTTCCCCTTCAGCACGCTATAAAGTGGGGGTGATTCGGTGGCGGATATACCGCAAAAAACACACTTTTTTGACTTCCAAGAAACACAAACTGAACGGGAAGAAGAGTACTTTCTGGCTTGCAGCTGGGCGGGCTCTTTAACGCACCAATCACAGAGTAGCTCTTCTCTATAAATACCAGGCATCTGACTTACTCTAGCCCAATTGTTTTCTTCTGATTCGTAGAAAACGTCTGCTAGAATGTCGGAAACTGCGCCTGTTGCCACTCCTGCTGTGTCCGCTCCTGGGGCAAAAACCTCTGCTAAAAAGCCGAAAAAGGCGGTAGGAGGTTCAAAAGCGCGCAAGCCTTCGGGTCCGAGCGTGACCGAGCTGATCACCAAGGCGGTGTCCGCATCCAAGGAGCGCAAAGGGCTCTCCTTGGCCGCTCTTAAGAAGGTTTTGGCTGCCGGAGGGTACGATGTGGAGAAGAACAACAGCCGCATCAAGTTAGGACTTAAGAGTCTGGTGAGCAAAACGATTTTGGTGCAGACAAAAGGTACCGGTGCCTCTGGTTCTTTCAAACTTAACAGGAAGCCGGGTGAGACTAAGGAGAAGGCACCGAAGAAGAAGCCAGCGGCAAAGCCTAAGAAACCAGTTGCCAAGAAACCCGCCAGCGCTGCCAAGAAACCCAAAAAGGCTGTGGCTGTGAAAAAGAGCCCGAAAAAAGCCAAGAAACCAGCGGCTTCCGCAGCCAAGAAAGCGGCCAAGAGCCCCAAAAAGGCCAAAACTGCCAAGCCCAAAAAGGCAGCTAAGAGCCCGGCTAAGGCCAAGGCGGTGAAGCCTAAGGCTGCCAAGCCGAAGCCAACCAAAACTAAAGCAGGAAAGGGTAAGAAGGCAGCGCCCAAGAAGAAGTAAAGGGATTTGAAAAAGAAAATAGAGTCTAACTCGTGCAAACAAACCCAACGGCTCTTTTAAGAGCCACCCACCTTTTCTAAAAGGAGCTGAAACATTCGTGCATTCACCGTCACAGCAGTAACAAATTTCCCCCCTTTTGTGACTAAATAATAGAAAATACTGGAAATAATACAAAGTAACTTAAAAAGTTACTTTTGTCGTTCTGAGGGAAGCTAAGAGGAAATATTTATGGATACTGTTTCTAGGCGCTTACTCCTGTTCGGAATACTCCCCCGTACATTTTTAAGTGGTGCTCAGGTCATTCTTTGTTCTGCCTACAGAGGGGGAGGGTAGGGGATCCAGTGAGGGGACAAAGGGTAAATGTTTGACTTAGAAACAATCACCTGACTGGCTGCGGGAAGCAGGACTAAATTGGTGGAGAGTTTGAAAAGCCCGCGCTCTGCAATGATTGGTCCGTCTCCCGCCCTGGGTTTAAAGCAGGGCACCTAGCGCTGACATACACGTTTAAAATCTGAACACGGATATCTTGATGGGGAGGGTGTATGTGAGTCTTTCGTAGTTTTGTTTTCACTGTTTAATACACAGCGCGTTTAGCTATTATTTTATGTTTTATTCCCTCTCGCTACTAATCTTCCTCCTCCCCCGTGTTAGATATGCCTATGGCTGCCTAGTTAATATTAGAAGATCAAAACCTTTTTTCGGTTCGCTAACCGATAGTGACCTAGTGAACCATGCTGCCATTTACTAATTTAAAGCATTTATAAAGAGGACATGTAGGGCGAAGAACCTTAGAGTGCCAAGGTTTTAAAAACCCACAAATTAGGAATCACTGCACAACTGACTCATTTGGAGGTCACATCCACCACACAAGCGATGAAATCCCTATATTCATATGTGCAATGCAGGCGTCGTTTCAGGAACGCTACACATTTACTGCACAGCTGTGCTCTTCACCAACCAGTTTTCACTGTGATACTCTAGACACGTCTCCTCAGTCGGGTTTTACAACTGTTCAGCGTACCTTGCAAGGATATGCTTTTCAGTAGTCGTGAGAACAGTCTCTTCTCTCCCCCCCCCCCATTTTCCTAATGCTCAAAGATGCCGAAAACAGTCTGTATTAGCTATAACTTTCAGAAAGTTATGAAGTTGAGAACAATAGAAAGAGAATCTTTTGTTAGGTATACACAGTAAGTCTATACTAGGAGTTCTAAGCAGTTATAGGGATTAAACTCTCCTGAACTGTTTTTAAAAACCTGCTCATTTCCCACTCTAAATATTCAGTAAAAGGCTTTGGAGAATTCCTCAAATCAGGAACTGGAGGAAAATGAAGGAATAAATTAAGTTAATTTAGACTTCAAAGACCTTATTCTTATCCACACTTGCCTGCTCTACAGTATTTTCACTACGATATACCCTGGAGATTAAGATCAAACATAAACCTGTAGTGCTAGAAGGTTGCCTTCGTGCTCCTTGGTGAGGGGTGGGGTAGCTTTTGGAAGGGAAGTTGTAGGCCTTGACTTTAAAGCAGTACACATTTAACCATCCTATTTAACCACCAAGAAAACTAGTAACTGAAATAGAGCAAATAAAGCTTTAGATTGTAGTAAAAGGTCTAGTTAGTGTTTGTCTGAAAAATGAAAACCTACTTTTTCTATACACTAGTTGTTCTGCATAGGAGTAAATAAAATAGTAATACAGCTCCTCCGTGGAGAGAGTGGGTGGCTCTTAAAAGAGCCTTTGGGTTATAGCCGAAAAAAAAGATTTGAAAGTTTACTTAGAACTAGTGTACTTTGTGACGGCCTTAGTGCCCTCAGACACGGCGTGTTTGGCCAGCTCCCCCGGCAGAAGCAGGCGCACAGCGGTCTGGATCTCCCGGGAAGTGATGGTCGAGCGCTTGTTGTAATGCGCCAGGCGAGACGCTTCCCCAGCAATACGTTCAAATATGTCGTTTACAAAGGAGTTCATGATCCCCATCGCCTTAGAGGAGATACCGGTGTCAGGATGAACTTGCTTCAATACCTTATACACGTAGATAGAGTAACTCTCCTTCCTGGTCTTTCTCCTTTTCTTATCTCCTTTCTTCTGAGTCTTGGTCACAGCTTTCTTCGAGCCCTTTTTGGGGGCAGGAGCAGATTTTGCCGGCTCTGGCATAGTAGCAGTTTATCGTTTGCTGAATAGCTCAAGAACAATAGCATGCGGATGGCACAGCTACCCTTGTATATATAGGGAGCGTATGCAAACGAGTAGCTTTTGCAGTCTGACTTCCTATTTGATACAAGAAACAAATGGTCTCAGCACCGGCACATACGACTTCATAATTGGTCATCTTCAGATACCATGTCACCATTGGTTGTTATTTTTTTCAACCAATCAAAAAGCAATTTATCAACCAATAGTTGGAAGCAGTATTTGCAAATGTTTCGCTTTAGGTGCAGCCCTACTAAAGCTTTTAAAACTGTAAAGCTAGAGCCGAAGTCGAATTCAGGAATGGCTTATAGCTGTTTATATTATAGGGGAACACAAATCCCTGTAGACGCTACTCTCAATCCCTAAGGATCATTGGGTTCTACTCCTAAATTAGTAATGAAACTAAAAAAAAAAAAAATTATGATCTTTCTCTATTAAAGGTACAAATTATACAAATGTACTCTAAATAATGCATTTGTGAAAAGTCATTATAAAGTTCCATATTTGTTTATCAATAATCCTGAGGTTAAATTAATCCAGTCTACAGGTTACTTTTTAAAATTAGGTTTCAGAGTAGCAGCCGTGTTAGTCTGTATTTGCAAAAAGAAAAGGAGTACTTGTGGCACCTTAGAGACTAAGGTGCCACAAGTACTCCTTTTCTTTTTTTAAAATTGTGTTTCCTTAATACTTGCCAGTGGGATCTAAAATTTACCTTGATTCTTTCCTTGTTGTCACTGGTAATTATATGTGTTTACAGGCCAAATCTGTGGCTTCAGTTGTAGCTGCACATGAAGAGGTTGTAGGCTAATGAAATCACACAATTATAACTGTGATCAGAATTTGGAGATGAGGTAACACAAGAGCAATTAAAGAAATAATTTGGACTGTGGAGTATTCATTATTGTTGATGATCATTGAGAATAAAAAACAAAACTATAAAAAACAGTTTTTCAGAATAAACGATGAATTTAAAGTGGTGGCAGTTGGGTGAAAAAAATTGTAAACAACAAATTTGATGTGGAAATATTTGAGATGCAATAAAATGGAAATCCTTTATAAGAACAATAGGTGAAGGTTAAAATGACAAAATGATACTATAATTAGGACCACAGAGGTCTGCCTGTGTGTAACTCATTGCAGGACCAATGAGCCAGGGAATATCTAGCTTTATTGAAGTCAATGAGTTTTTGGCCTTGACTTCAGTGAGGCCAGAATTTCACCTGTCATCCTGCAAAGACAAAATGCTTAATGCTGTACTTTCCTATTGACTTCTTGTGATTAAAATTAAATACATTGCATGTGCTTTCAGGATACCAGCTTAGTTAGCACACACTTGGTATTTTCTTTTGTTTTACGTGGACTGTGTGCGTCATGTAAAACAAAGTTAGATTCAAGACCTCTATATATTAATAATCAAAATGTAAATTTGTTTATTGAAATCTAACCTGGGTAGCTGTGATAATAAAAATAATGTGTAAATTCAACATTGAATAATAGTATTATTATGAATAAGAAAATGTAATGATTTAATACAATCAAAGTATCTTCAAAGAGGACATCTATATTTTTATTATGGAATTGTGGGGAGTTGATTTTATACAAATATATATTCTTTAATGAGTCATTCTAAACCATAGTTAGGTGTTGTTATCCTACACTTTCAAATCCAAAGGTTAGAGCCATTCCAATTTTCAGTCAAGCACTGTAGCAATAGGTTAGTCTATTTTATCTACTTTCTCTACATTGTAAATTATGTTTAAATTGTTTAATAAAAGCCACTGCTGTTTGGTTCAGTTGTTTACATTTATCAAACAGAAACTGAAGTGATCTAACATTATTATTGGACTATGCACATTTTCCTTTCTTCCACCCTAGTTTTCCAGAAAACTGACTTTTTCCTTAACCACAGTAAATGCTCATTGCCTAGATCATTAGTAATTCATGTTCATGATGCAGGGTTTGTCAAAATCACTCACCTATAGACTAACTCAGTTCCAACTGAACTCAATAGAATGGGATTTTTTTTTTTTACCAGTTACTGCAGTTGAAGCAGTTAGGCCACATCTCAGTGCTTTTGAGGAAAATCCCACCCTAAAATCCTTAAGTGATGTTATCAAACTAATATGGTGTGAAAAATCTATTTACAAACTGAGGTTACTGTTTCTATCACCTTTCTTTTTTTAATTTATATAGTTTACAACGTCTATTAGGATTTTCTATAACTTCATCCTGAAAACATGTGTTTAATTTTCATATAAATAATACCATTTACTTCATAAAGCTTTTTGTTTAGTGCCTTGTTTTGAAAGAGAATTTAAAAATATATAATAAATGTGTCTGAGGAAGGCATTATTTGGTGGTAACACGCAAAATTGTAAGAAATGTTGAGAAACATAACTTCTGCCCCTTAATTAAGGGCGGCTGAGAAAGCTTCTGTGAAAGTTTTCTGCTGATGCAAGGAAAACAGGGACAAAAAGATTAAAAATTAGAAAATGCACAAAGAAAATGTGATACTAACAAATTATATGACAAATATCTTTTAATTGAAAAAAAATCTGTGACACCTTTATCCACCTCTGGTTATATTTACTTCTATCTTTATACTGTAAACTCTCAGGAATTATATAAATAATCCATCACTATTTTGATCATCTGTAAATATTAAATATTTTTTAAATAAAATCACTGTTTTCAAAGGTGAAAGTGGGATTTAACAAACAAAACCAACAATCAATAACAAAACCAACCAAGCAAGCAAACAAACAAGCTTCCCTGGGCTCTCTTTATATAACAAATACGATATCATAATAAGCCAATAAATCCCCTCCCCAACTCTTTCTACTCCACTTTTTTTTTAAATTACTCTTCTAGGTTACATTGTTGCATCAAATTGGGGAGAAAAAAACAATCAACAACAAGAAAAAACAAAACAAAATGCAGAGATAAGGAAAAGTAAAAGTGCTATATATTTCATGACTGATTTCAAGAAAATCAATATCACTTGTGATTTGTGGTGATCAGCAGCCAAATGCTAGCCTGGGAGTGGGCCCAGTTTGCTGCCCCCCCCCCACCTGTAGGGTGGGTTTTACCTTGTGACTCTGCCTTGATGTGCCAATCTAGTTGGTTTGTGCCCTGGGCCCATCACTATTCCGGTAGGGCAATGTGGTGGCTGGACTGATCACCCTGATCTGGAGCTAGGGCTGACACCCCTTGGCTTGGTTCTTGCTTCTGATACAGTTGGAGACCCTTTCTATTTGAGCATTCCCCTATGGTTGCGATCTCGCCCTCATCTTCTCTGGGACACTAGCCATTCTTGCAGCCTGAACATATGCACAACATAGCAACTGGTATTTGTGGACGTGAAAATGGAAACCTTCAACCACTGGCAATAGGTGGTATGCCCGGTGTTGATGCTGTTGGCAACTTTATCCCTCTGACATGTGGTCTGATGTAATGAGAAATCTATTGAGGAGCGGCCCATCCCCCTCCACATATAATATTCAACCAGGGTCCTTTCCTACAGCAGTTTAATGGATTGAAGCCCTGCTTCAGCCTTATAAACTTTAATTTGAGGTTTGCAGACTTATAGCTATATTAGGGCAAACCCCTAACTGGAGCAAAGGGGCAGGAGTCTTTATCCATGAGAGTGCAGCCTTTTACATTCTAATGTACAATACAAGCTAGGGGACCACAATAAACAGTTACTATTACCACACCTGGCTGAATCCCACGCTTCCCAAGGGAAACCAAGACAATGAAGGTATGAATAGATCATCTAGTGAAAGGTGCTTGAAAAACCCTGTGAGAACAGTACACTAAGCAGACACTGGTATGAGATGTGGGAAGGGGCTTGTATGTAAGCTGTGCAGAACTCTGGTTTTTAGTTTACGTTGTCTGATGTAATGTCTCAGGAGAGACTTCTCTTTGCTTACAGAACTAAAGCAACTTTGCTTTTCAGTAAGGAGCCACCTCTATGTTAATATTTCTGTCATGCTGGAAATACGGATAACGTGGTAGCCCCTGATGTCCTCTGTCCCTCCATGGTCATGAGACAGTAAGCCATGTCTCCAAAGCATGATAAAGCGCAGCCTTCAGCTTTGCAGGCTTTTAGTCTTATCTGTTAAATGGGAGAATCTAAAGTAGAATCCTCTGAGCCTGATGGCCTACTTGAGTGCTCATGGCAAGGCATTAGTGAAGGTGGTAGTTTAACCCCTCCTCCCCCCTTCCCTGCCAATGTCTGGATTAGTAGATTATGCCTTAGAAGGTATTAAATGGGTCCGTCTCTGTCCTTGCATACCAGTCCTGTTCAAGCACATTGGTCAGGGCCAGTGCACAATTCTTCCAAGGAGACGGGTGTTTCATGTACCCACAGCCTGGTTCCAGTGTGAGAGCACCAGTCACTTACTGCATGAATTGAACACTCTTTACAAGATTCCTGAATGGGGAAAATGGCTCAAGTTTGGAATTTCTTCCGTATCACTCCTTGTGTGCCCTCAAGTGGGCATCGGGAGTGCAGACCTCATGCTGAGCTGAGCAGAACTACCTTTGGGATGGAATCCTACTTGCCCTAAATGGTCCATACTTGTGACGTGCACACTGTAATATGAACAGAGGCTTGTTTGACCTCCCTAACAGGAACTGGAATATACTTAACTCCTCTTGGTGGAAAGATTTAAGAGCAGGACACCAGGGCTTAGTCTATCTCATGTTTTACCCTGTGGAAGTGAGAGATTCCTCTTCCTAGCATGGGGCACAGCAACCTTCACAGGGAGGGGAAGGAGTCAGGCATTATCCTATAGGAACCACGATGCCAATACACTTGATGTGGTGCTAGCTGGAGTTTGAGGTCCCTTCTCATCTCAACGACTGAAAGAGAGAGGGATGCTAGTGGGTGAGTGGAAGTGCCCAGAGACCTTTCTAGTGTGATTGGCTTCCTGAGCAGTGGAGGGTCCAAGAATTGGCAAAGGATCAGTGGAGTGGGAGTGACTGTGGTGATCTGTTTCCCCGTGGGGACCTTGGATGTAATTTGAATAATAAAATTGCTGCCTGGTTAAAACTCATACACTTCCTTGTTTTCTTCCATGTGGGGAGCACACCAAATGAATGAATTGGGGAGAGGGGAACCAAAACCAACCAATCAACAAAACCACCACCTCCCAAGATGGAAACAAAGGAAAAATAAAAATAAAACAGTGCTGTATTTCATGACTGACTTTAAGAAAACCTTTATCACTCGTGATTTGCAGAGATCAGCAAACCAAAGACAACCTGTTACTATGTAATTCACTAATTACCGTGTATGTGTACCTGGGCAAATATACATAGATTGCATAATTTTGGGTAGATGTGGGTATTTTTCCCAGTACTTTGGTCCAAGTAAGTAAAAACCTAGCCCTTACAAAATCACACACAACCCCCGCCCCCTTTGTACCCACTTTATAAAAGAAAGGCTACCTATATTTCCGCCACACTCCCACAACTCCCTTTGTGAAACAGATTAATTAGATTTCATAGAATCATAGGAGTGGAAAGGACCTCAAGAGGTCATCCAGTCCAGTCCCCTGAACTCAGGAGAGGAGCCTGCTTTTCTGAGTGCCGGTTCTGTAACCATTCAAATCAGTAGTCACACCCTGGCAGCGACATCATTCACATTATGTGAGGAGACAGAAAACAGAACCAACGTAGGTACCCAGCCTCGTCCCTTATGATTAGATCTGAATGTAGCAGATTTGAAACCCTCCTTTGTTCAAATTTTGGAAAATGGCGACGAATGTCGGAGAGGCTTAGAGAGAGGGGGAGAAAGAAATCTGTCAGTGAACCCGATTGGTCATATTTTGCCGCAGATTCCTACTTGAAACCGGGAAGGAGGGGAAGCTTTACAAAGCCACACAATAGCAGCCACCCCCACCCCACGGGAAGCCGCGTTATCGAAAGGGAAAATATTCAAAAGACAAGCAGAAAAGACATTGTAAAGAGATTCCTAATTTGACCAGCAGCACGCTGAGAGAGACCCAGCCATGTCAGGAAACGTGGGCTTCCAGGGCAGTTATAATGATTAGCGCTAGCCTGAGTCTCCTAATCCTAAAGCTGTCAATTTTTTTTAGCCTGCTTGCTAAAGGAAACCAGTGGGGGGGGCGGGGGGAAAGCTGGAATGTTTTGCCTGCCTAGGACCGTCCCGTCCCAACCGCCGCATGCATGGACAGCGAAGAGCGAGGGGGAGGAAAGGTGCAAATGGCCCACCCTTTTTCCTCTGCAGTTCTCAATCAGGTCGTACTTCAGGCAATATACAGAGACGGCCACCCATTCTCGCTCCACAGCTTTGTCTGTAGTGCTAGCGAACATGTCTGGTCGTGGGAAGGGAGGCAAGGGTCTCGGAAAAGGAGGCGCTAAGCGTCATAGAAAGGTGCTGAGGGACAATATCCAGGGCATAACCAAGCCAGCAATTCGGCGTTTGGCTCGTCGTGGGGGTGTAAAGCGCATTTCGGGCCTCATTTATGAAGAGACTCGGGGAGTGCTGAAAGTATTTTTGGAGAACGTGATCCGAGATGCTGTTACTTACACTGAGCATGCGAAGCGGAAGACTGTGACTGCTATGGACGTTGTTTATGCACTGAAGCGTCAAGGTCGTACTCTGTACGGATTTGGAGGCTAAACCCGTGCCTGTAAAATGGTCTGTTAGAAAACATTTGTAACCCAAAGGCTCTTTTCAGAGCCACCCACACTTTCATGAAAAGAGCTGCTGTTCTTGGAGAACTCTGGGACAAGGAGTATTCATGCCCTTGTTTATGTATTCCTTAATCAAACTAATAATTATTTAAGGTGAAGCGAAATTTATAGAATGATTGTACTGTTTGCGCTATAAATAAAGGGTAAGGTAGTCCTTTAGTTTTCAACTGGGGGAAGTACTTGCAACACACACACCCCACGCCATCGTGAGGACTCCGTGAAAGCCGCACACACGGCTCAAAATGTATGCGAGCGTACCTACATGCAAAAGAGGAACCATGGAAGGACGATGTTGTATGTTAGCCTGCGGGAGTTATAATAGAGGGGGGGAAAAAAAGCTCATGCTCAAATAAATTGGTTAGTCTCTAAGGTGCCACAAGTACTCCTTTTCTTTTTGCATAATAGAGGAACTACCCCGACCCACGAACGACAGGGAAAAAGGAGGGGTTTCCGATGATAAAGCAGAGTATAACACCTTAAGTGTTCGTGCATTAAGCTTAAAAAAAAAATCCTAGGCCAACAGCGAGCTGTTTTACCTTCCGCAAGGATAACATACTATGTATGTACCTTTCCAAGCCACTTAAAATATTAAAGCAGGGATACAGCTCTTTTCCGTGTAAACGTGGTGGCTCTTAAAAGAGCCTTTGGGTTTTTAAGTGGTTGCAAAAGAGGGGCTTTACGCTCTTTCCCCACGGATGCGCCGGGCCAACTGGATATCCTTAGGCATAATCGTGACTCTCTTAGCATGAATAGCACATAGGTTGGTATCCTCGAAGAGACCAACTAGATATGCCTCACTAGCCTCCTGCAGGGCCATAACAGCCGAACTCTGGAAGCGCAAGTCAGTCTTGAAATCCTGGGCGATTTCACGCACCAGGCGCTGGAAGGGCAACTTGCGGATGAGCAGCTCAGTAGATTTCTGATAACGGCGAATCTCTCGTAGGGCCACAGTACCGGGGCGATAACGATGGGGCTTTTTCACTCCCCCAGTGGCAGGCGCGCTCTTCCGAGCAGCCTTAGTAGCCAACTGTTTACGAGGGGCTTTGCCACCGGTAGATTTACGGGCGGTCTGCTTGGTCCTGGCCATTCTGCACAATCACTTCTCTTAACTCTGAAAACAAGAAGCAGAATGAATCGAGCCGAGCGCGCAGACCGCTCTTTATAGACAAACTCTGTCTCTTGATTGGATGAGAAAGAGACGACAACTCTCATTGGACTATTCAAAATAAATTTGAAAAGCCCGCGTTATTCACAGAAAGCTCCGATTAAGGCACGTCAGTAATACCCCCGGAAGTGTGGATGGGGTAGCTGTACCGAGGTATTTCTTAAGTGACCGATCGATTGAATTATATTTTAATTCATGGATCTCATAAACGCATGGCCATCACAGAAAGCTCCGATTCCAGCACTCCTGGGAGTGCTGTGAGGGGGACACGTCACGGAATTGCCTCCTTGCTGCCCTACTTTCTGGCTCACAGAATCTTCTCGCCAGTCCGCTCTGTTTTCCAACACTGGTTCATGCGGTTTCTTTCCATTTGCAAAATAACGAAATCATCACCCTTGAAATCAGTCTTTAACATTTGAAATAATTTTAGTCCTCTCTCCTTCCAAATGTTCAGTGAGGAGACGGTCAGAAAAAAAGTGGCCATGCTACCCCATCCACACTTCCGGGGGTATTACTGACGTGCCTTAATCGGAGCTTTCTGTGAATAACGCGGGCTTTTCAAATTTATTTTGAATAGTCCAATGAGAGTTGTCGTCTCTTTCTCATCCAATCAAGAGACAGAGTTTGTCTATAAAGAGCGGTCTGCGCGCTCGGCTCGATTCATTCTGCTTCTTGTTTTCAGAGTTAAGAGAAGTGATTGTGCAGAATGGCCAGGACCAAGCAGACCGCCCGTAAATCTACCGGTGGCAAAGCCCCTCGTAAACAGTTGGCTACTAAGGCTGCTCGGAAGAGCGCGCCTGCCACTGGGGGAGTGAAAAAGCCCCATCGTTATCGCCCCGGTACTGTGGCCCTACGAGAGATTCGCCGTTATCAGAAATCTACTGAGCTGCTCATCCGCAAGTTGCCCTTCCAGCGCCTGGTGCGTGAAATCGCCCAGGATTTCAAGACTGACTTGCGCTTCCAGAGTTCGGCTGTTATGGCCCTGCAGGAGGCTAGTGAGGCATATCTAGTTGGTCTCTTCGAGGATACCAACCTATGTGCTATTCATGCTAAGAGAGTCACGATTATGCCTAAGGATATCCAGTTGGCCCGGCGCATCCGTGGGGAAAGAGCGTAAAGCCCCTCTTTTGCAACCACTTAAAAACCCAAAGGCTCTTTTAAGAGCCACCACGTTTACACGGAAAAGAGCTGTATCCCTGCTTTAATATTTTAAGTGGCTTGGAAAGGTACATACATAGTATGTTATCCTTGCGGAAGGTAAAACAGCTCGCTGTTGGCCTAGGATTTTTTTTTAAGCTTAATGCACGAACACTTAAGGTGTTATACTCTGCTTTATCATCGGAAACCCCTCCTTTTTCCCTGTCGTTCGTGGGTCGGGGTAGTTCCTCTATTATGCAAAAAGAAAAGGAGTACTTGTGGCACCTTAGAGACTAACCAATTTATTTGAAACATACAACATCGTCCTTCCATGGTTCCTCTTTTGCATGTAGGTACGCTCGCATACATTTTGAGCCGTGTGTGCGGCTTTCACGGAGTCCTCACGATGGCGTGGGGTGTGTGTGTTGCAAGTACTTCCCCCAGTTGAAAACTAAAGGACTACCTTACCCTTTATTTATAGCGCAAACAGTACAATCATTCTATAAATTTCGCTTCACCTTAAATAATTATTAGTTTGATTAAGGAATACATAAACAAGGGCATGAATACTCCTTGTCCCAGAGTTCTCCAAGAACAGCAGCTCTTTTCATGAAAGTGTGGGTGGCTCTGAAAAGAGCCTTTGGGTTACAAATGTTTTCTAACAGACCATTTTACAGGCACGGGTTTAGCCTCCAAATCCGTACAGAGTACGACCTTGACGCTTCAGTGCATAAACAACGTCCATAGCAGTCACAGTCTTCCGCTTCGCATGCTCAGTGTAAGTAACAGCATCTCGGATCACGTTCTCCAAAAATACTTTCAGCACTCCCCGAGTCTCTTCATAAATGAGGCCCGAAATGCGCTTTACACCCCCACGACGAGCCAAACGCCGAATTGCTGGCTTGGTTATGCCCTGGATATTGTCCCTCAGCACCTTTCTATGACGCTTAGCGCCTCCTTTTCCGAGACCCTTGCCTCCCTTCCCACGACCAGACATGTTCGCTAGCACTACAGACAAAGCTGTGGAGCGAGAATGGGTGGCCGTCTCTGTATATTGCCTGAAGTACGACCTGATTGAGAACTGCAGAGGAAAAAGGGCGGGCCATTTGCACCTTTCCTCCCCCCTCGCTCTTCGCTGTCCATGCATGCGGCGGTTGGGACGGGACGGTCCTAGGCAGGCAAAACATTCCAGCTTCCCCCCCCCCCCCCCCCTGGTTTCCTTTAGCAAGCAGGCTAAAAAAAATTGACAGCTTTAGGATTAGGAGACTCAGGCTAGCGCTAATCATTATAACTGCCCTGGAAGCCCACGTTTCCTGACACGGCTGGGTCTCTCTCAGCGTGCTGCTGGTCAAATTAGGAATCTCTTTACAATGTCTTTTCTGCTTGTCTTTTGAATATTTTCCCTTTCGATAACGCGGCTTCCCGTGGGGTGGGGGTGGCTGCTATTGTGTGGCTTTGTAAAGCTTCCCCTTCTTCCCGGTTTCAAGTAGGAATCTGCGGCAAAATATGACCAATCGGGTTCACTGACAGATTTCTTTCTCCCCCTCTCTCTAAGCCTCTCCGACATTCGTCGCCATTTTCCAAAATTTGAACAAAGGAGGGTTTCAAATCTGCTACATTCAGATCTAATCATAAGGGACGAGGCTGGGTACCTACGTTGGTTCTGTTTTCTGTCTCCTCACATAATGTGAATGATGTCGCTGCCAGGGTGTGACTACTGATTTGAATGGTTACAGAACCGGCACTCAGAAAAGCAGGCTCCTCTCCTATTTCACAAAGGGAAAGTTGGGAGTGGGGTGGCTGGAAGAGACCCTTATCCTTGCTTTAATTTATAAAGTCGAAACAAAGGTTTCATGTTTATTATTGTAAAAGGGCTAGTTTTTGAATTACTCAGTAGAATGTCGGGGGGGGGGGGGGATGGGAAGGGAACCACACATATACTGTGTGTATATATATATATATTTGTCCAACTAATTGGAAAGCTAGCCCATATATATATTGCCCAGGCCCCAAGACAAAACAGTGAACTTTCTACACAATAATGGGTTACCTTAGCTTTGTTGATCTCTGCAAATCATAGGTGGTAATGATTAAATGTTTTATCAGTCATATAATATTAGCACCTTTTCCTCCCAGTTACACACACACTGCTGTGTTAGTCCCTCTCTCTCTAGTCTTTTTTATATGCTATCCAGCACTTCCAGCTTCTGGGTAAAATCAATAACTATAGAAATGAACTTGAAGGCCTCTGGCTTTTCTCCCTTATTGACCTGCTTGGAGTAAGTTTTGTTTCTGGTTGGTTGGTTCATATTTGGGAGGTGTTTTGTTGGGGTTTTTTGGTGCTGTGAAAAACACAACAAGCTGTGACACTGCTTACTGATCATTTGGTCTTGTAATTATACGTGAAATACAGCAGCAGTTTTTCCATCCTTATATTTTGTTTCTATTTTCATGGATGTTTCAATTTGTTCTTTCGGGGTTGCAGAGATTACAGTATGAAATTAAACTGCACAGGAGAAACTGAGACGCATGTAGCTAGACCTCATGGTTGTTTTGTTTGTGTATTGTTTCCTGTTTGCCCTTTTGAATATATTAAATATATAGTAGAATAACTTTTATTTTATTTAGTTATTAAATTACTTATTTATAAAATATAAATATTATTATTAATATTACAATCTGATTCTGATAACAGAATAATGATTTTTAAGAACAAGGTCTTTTCTCACAACTGTCAGGAGCTAAAATAAACAAATACAATTAAACTAGCCATAAAATGAAAATAAAATAAAAATTTAAATGACTGACTATAAATCCCTTTCCCTTCCAGTTTCTCAAGTCATTCCCTTGCCCAGGCAAATTGAATGTATACATATATTTTTTCTCTCAAAACTGTACATTAATAATTAATAATAATTAATCAATTTAATTTAATGCCCAAAAACTTAGGTAATGTAGAGTTAAGGTAGCCAAGCATTACCTTCTCCTTTTCCGGAATTTGGAGAGTGGACAACCTGAAACCTCTGAAAACCAGAAAATGGTAAATTAAAGTTTATATTGCTCCCCCAATGCACCCCTAATGCTTGAATTAACCACTGGAAATGGTTCATTAATGATAATGCCTTAAAAAGTAAACACGAGAAATGAATAAGAGAATATGCTCATGTTTATGTTTGGTCTTATCCTGGGGATTGTTAGCAATCTGGTGGCATACATAACAGTGGTCTCCAGGACTTAGTGGGGGATAGGTGAAGATAATGGTCATAGGAATTGTTAGGACAAGAAAGAAAGGGTGGTAACATTTTGCAGGTTTGGGATGGCCTGTTTGGAGTAGGCTTTCAGTGTCAGCCATATGTAGGTAACTCCTGTTGGCTATGCCTGAACTAAATCAAAGTTTTGCCTTAGTGAACAGAAGTTGTTAGACTTTGTCATATAGTGCTCATTGTGCTCTGTTCCCACCGTATTCTGAAGTATCTATGAGTGTAGAGTGCTAGTATGTTTGTTATTAACATTTTGGGACATCAATCAAAGAGGGCACAATAAAGATTGTGTTGTGTACCTTGAATTTTTAACTTCAGCTATCAGAGGTTTAAGTTTACCAACCTTCCACAATGTGGAGGGGCACTAGGCAGTGCTGGGCAACCTGTATTAACAAAGTTTTTGGATAGTAAATTTCCTTGTTTTATTAAAACGTAATTTCTCAGCATCCTCATATTTTACAGACTCTCCCTCCACTTCTTCTGGTTCCTTGGCAATAGTTACCCCAGCCAGAGACGGCACTGGCTGCACATTAATCTCTTCATTGTCAACGCATCATCTCAAGGACTTTTCACATGTCCAACACAGCTTAACCCTTCCTCCCCAGCATGCCTCCCTACATAGGAGCAGGCTGAGGAGTTCAGAAGCAGACAGAGGAACAATGAAGGGGCTGACATACAGTCAGTAGCAGCAGTTTTTGAAGGGGGACAGAAATAGGGGCGAGGGCATAGCTGTATTATTTTGGAAAGGGCAGAGCTGAACTTCCCTGTGTCACCCAATTCACACCTCCGACTCTCTAGACTCGCTTTGTGCACACAATTGACTGCACTGCTCTGACTTCCCCTTCCCTCTAAGAGCAGCAGTATGGGGGCCTGTAGGATTAACCTAGAGCCTCCTACTGCTGGAGACAGCATGGAGCATGAGGGGAGTTCTGTGTTATTCCTGTGTTCAGAGACCAGTAGAGGGAAGGGGAGCCAGACACCCCTCCTTCAGCTTGGTGAAGTAGCCATGGGCTATCTAAATAGCCTCATAGCTAGTGCTGGGGATGAGCTGATGATCGTGGTACATGTGGGTACCAGTGATATAAGGAAATGTAGGAGAAAGGTCCCGGAATTTTGGCTGCTAGTTAAGAGATTAAAGTCCAGGATGTACATGGTAGCATTCTCTTAAATGCTTCCAGTTCCACATGCAGGGCCAGTAAGAAAGGCAGAACTGCAGGGTCTCAGTGTGTGGATGAGGCAATGGCATAGAGATGAGGGACGTAGGCTGATTAGAAACTGGGGAACCTTATGGGAAAGGAGTGGCCTATACAGGAGGAATGGGCTCCTCCTTAACCAAAAGGCAACCAGACAGCTGGCACATACAGTTAAAAAAAAAGTGCTGGGGGAATGCCGACAGGTGCAAAGGAGCACACAGTTTGAGTGGAGATGTCCCTTAGGGATGAATTTATTAAAGGGGGAACACTGTATCCTAGTAAAGAGGACAGAAAAGAAGTTGGCAACGTACAGGTAGGAGGCAATGAGGAACAGTCAAATGTAACAGAGTTCCATTTAAATATAACACCTGAAGGCAAGCAACTGAATACTGACAAAATGTATAAATGCTAATATATAAATGTGGAAGTCTTAATATGATGGGTGAATTAGAGTGCCTGGCATTAAATGAGAATATTGATATCATAGGCATAACTGAAATTTAGTGGATAAAGGATAATCAATGGGACATGGCAATACCAGGATAAAAATAGATAGGAATGACAACAGAGTAGGTTGCGCTGGTGTGGGAGCGGAATTATATGTTAAAGAAAGAGAAGAGTCAAATAAGATAAAATCTTAAGTGATACAAACTGTACCATAGTATCTCTATGGATAAAAATTCCATGCTTGAATAAAAAGAGTATAGCAGTGGGAATATAGCACTGGCCAAGTGACCTGGATGGTCACAGAGATTGTAAAATGCAAGGGAAGTTAGAGAGAGGTTACAAAAGCAGAAAACACAATAATAATGAGTTTCAGAGTAACAGCCGTGTTAGTCTGTATTCACAAAAAGAAAAGGAGGACTTGTGGCACCTTAGAGACTAACCAATTTATTTGAGCATAAGTTTTTGTGAGCTACAGCTCACTTCATCGGATGCATAATGAGTGATTGCAACTATACCCATATTGACAGGATGAATGTAACCTCAGACCATGATGCAGAGATAAAATTTCTATACACTATAAATGACTGCATCTTGGAGCAGCTAGTTCTGGAACCCACTTGGGGAAAGGCAATTTTTGATGCAGTCCTAAGAAGAGCAGAGGATGTGGTTCAAGAGGTAACTATAGCTGAACTGCTCAGTAATAGTGACCATAATGTAATTAAATTTAACATCCTTGTAGCATGGATAATACCAAAAAAAAAAAAAAAAGAGAAAAAGAAAAAAACCAGCCACAGAAACATTTAACTTTAAAAAAGGAAACTACACAAAAATGAGGACACTTGTTAGACATACATTAAAAGGACCAATCACAAGTGTTAAATGCCTGAAATCAGCATGGGGACTATTTAAATATACCACAACAGAGGCTCAGACTAAATATGTACCCCAAGTCAGAAAAGACAACAAGAGGATCAAAAGAATGCCACGGTGGCTAAACAACAGAGCAATGGAGGCCATTAGAGGCAAAAAGGCATCCTTTAAAATTTGGAAGTCAAATCCTAGTGTGGATAATAGAAACAAAGGTGCACAAACTCTGGTAGGTTAAGTGTGAAAGTATAATAAGAGAGGCTGGGAAAGAATTTGAGAAGCAACTTGCTAAAGATGCAAAAAATTAACAGAGAGAACTTTTTAAAGGACATCAGAAGTAGGAAGCCTTTCAAACAGGCACTGGGGCCACTAGATGACAAAGGTGTAAAAGGAGCACAGAGGGTATG